AGACAGACAGACAGACAGACAGACAGACAGACAGACAGACAGACAGACAGACAGACAGACAAAAGAAAATCTCCAGAAATGCAACGTCACAGACCACGCAAAACGAAAAAGACTAAGTCTTAAGTTTGAGAAAGTTTGAATAAGCGTTTCACGGCGCTTGCAACACAGAAAGATAAGATAGTGCTGAAGGTTAGAGGTGTCACTAGACAATAAGATGCAAAACAAAAGAAAGAGGACAGATAAGGATGATAGATGCCTGAAAGGAAAGAAGGAGAAAACAACATCTGAGCATTCGCCAACCACCGACGTGAACTTCAGAAAAGAATGAACACATAATACATGTGTATGAAGAAGGAGAAGGAAACACTTTCATTCAACAAAACAATTTATTATGAAGAAGAAAAAGGAATGATTCCAAAGACATTTGAAGAAGAAAAAGACAGAACTTTCAAACAACACAAGAAGAAATAAAAGTCATATAATTGACGAACATTAGAGATGTTACACCAGAAAGTAGCAAACGAGAAAAAGATTGAGGAGAGATACGGACGATAGATGTTTGATAGGAAAGAAGGTGCAAACCATACCACAGCACCTGCCAGCCAACCGCCCAAACACATAATAGAAGAAAAATGCGTTCAACTTTCAAACAACATATTATGAAGAAGACAAAGACTCGAGTTTGTTTTAGTAGAGGTTTTACGGCGCTTGCAACTGCATAAGGTCATATTATTGTGAGCGCCAGAGGATTAGAGGTGTAAGGGAGTTAACAAACATAAAAAGGAGGGGAGATAAGGACGATAGATGTTTGAGAGGAAAGAAGAAGTAAACCACACCAGAGCACCCGCCAACCACCCACGAAAAAGACTTTCAAACCACGTACATGAAGAAGAAGAAAAAGGGAGAACTTATACACTATATAGAAGAAGAAAAGGGAGAGCTTTCAAAGAAAACGAAAAAAAGAACATTTTCAAAATACTCAAAGAAGAAAAAACTGATGTGAAAAAAGAACTTTCACCCAACGTACTATGAAGACGAGAAAAAGGGAAAATAATCTTCAAACAACATATCAGAAAAATTTTGTTTCTAAAACTTTCAAACGTTGAGGTTCAACAAGACAGCAGATCTAACCTGAGAGTGATGCAGCATTGGGCCCCCATGGCGTAGCGTGACGTCACACAGGAGGGAGGCAGGGGACGCTATCAATGCAGTACTCAACCAAACACCCACTGCTCTTCCATCAGTTAGTTGGGCCACATTTGTTTAAAAAGCAAGCATCACCCTTCCAAACGTGTTACAGAGCGCACATAAACGATTGCAGCGATGACACATTCGGAGAACGTATTGAAGGGTATATTACCGGAGTTCGACGCGGATATAAACTGACAATGACAATGTTCCTGTTCTAATCCCGGACAAATCACTTGGAAAGATTTACATTAAGAATCTGTGGGAAAACTGTTGACGACCACACAAACGTTCCAGCAAGGAAACCGAAAATATTCCTGTTCAAATCCCCGAAAAATCACTGTGAGATATCAAAATTAGAAATCTGTTGAAGAACAATTGACGAGCACACAAATGTTCCAGCAAGCAAACTGAAAATGCACATGCAATCCTGCTTTAATCCCTGTAAAAAAAAAAAAAAGCAATACTTGGGATAGACCTACATCAAAAATCTGCAACAGAACCGTTGATGAACACACAAATGTGTTAGCAAGCGAACCGAAAATAAAATGCTCCTTGTTCTAAACCCCGAAAATTCACTTTAACACTGAGAAGCTAGGGCAGAACCACTAACGAAAACACAAATCTATGTTTCACAACGCAAAAGTAAAGCTAAATATCATGAAACAATGCGGAGGGAGGGAGTCTACCTTCGGATCAACGAACACACAAATGTTCTCCAGAAAACGTTAAGACTGGATATCAGGAAACTACTATGCGGAGGGAGGGGATCAACGAACACACATCAACAAACATACAAGTAAGTTCTCCAGAAAACTTTAAGACTCGAAAAGTTTTCTGAAACACTCGATATCATGAAGTTATGTGGAGGGAGGGGAATCTACCTTCGGATCAGATAAGCCACGATGGAGGAGAGGTCTGCCTCGTCATCGTCGCCCCCTGAGCGCGCGTTACTCCGGAGATTATAGCGCTGGTTGCCCGATTCCTCCTGTTCCTGGTCACTGCCGCTCATTCTGCGATGTCCACGAGAATGACTCAGTCCCATCAACTTCTGGCACTTCGCCCCGGCACACACAGCACGCCACACAATCACAAACTCGCGGGATCACCCAAAAAATACTCCAAGATCTATGGCTGTTTACATTCTCCACTCCGAGGAAACACGAAAGTTGAGAATCTGTTTTAATTCCTTCCACAACAAATATGTCTGAAACTGAAGGTGCCAAATTCCTCTTGAAAAACTGTCGTATTAGTTACACGAGGACTTCGTCTATCTGAAATAAAAAAGAAAAATGAATAAAGTTATGATCAGTCATACCGTTTTTACACATGGAAAAACTGGAACTTACAGGGCAAAAATAAACCAACAGCAACATTATAGTAAGGTCTGGCACTTTTGTGTCTTGACAGACGACCTTACTGCAGTATGCATGATACCCTCTGTGCCTGGGCGGCAGATACAGAGGGGATATATTGCCTAAGTACTACTTTCCTTCTCTTAATATCTTGACAACCTTGAATATGCTCCAAGGAAGAGACACCGTTGACATATGTTTGGAATAAAAAAGGTGTACCGCTGTGTCTTTTTATTTTACACTGTGCTAATGATTTGAAAACAACCGTAAGAACTACAAAGCCGAGAATGAAAGAGAGAGACTGGGAGAGAGAGAGAGAGAGAGAGAGA